TCCTTCCTCCTCAGCCCTGCTCCAACTGCCTGAGTCCCTGCCTCCCTTTCCCTGTCATCCTTGCCTGGCAGTACCCAATGCCTGAAGCTGGGACAGTCCGTGCCTGTTCCACATGCACCCCAGGCAGAAAGGCAGGCGCTGGGCAGAGGACTGCAGATGCATGGTGATGGTGCTGAGTGCTCCCACCGGCTTGTCTTCCCAATCTTGGCTTCTGATCTTCTTTCCCTTCTGCTGGGAACCTCTGCTCAGCACTGAGAGAGGGAAGGTGTGGGTGCTGCCTCCTGCCCGTGCCCCTGCCGGGCCTCACCTCTTCCCTCTCCTGGAGCAGTCGGTGTCCTCAGGGCAGGTTCGTGCTCAGTCTATGCCCGGCAAATCCCTTGGAGCTGCCCAGAAGCAGCTCCTTCCAGACGGCTTTCCTGCCAGCACTCTTCCACCACCCAGATTTCTTTTCTTACTCATCGTTCGTGCTGTTCGTGTCTCCGTAACTGGAAAGGGCGGTCCTCGAGAGAAGGTGCCTTGGGTCCCTCCCAGTGTGCCCACAACCTTCACAGAGCACCTGACACATAGCAGGGCCTCCCGAGCCTTTGTGTACATCTAGAGGACGACTCCAAACTCACTCTCGCATGGCACCATCTCACCTCCCTCCGGGGACCCGTCCATTCCCACGGTGACCTTTGAAGCATGTCTGCCTGTCAACATGTCTCGGCACAGTCTGGCCATGCTCACCCATGTCCACCTGCTGACTCATGGCAGCTAGCACACTTCTTGCAAATGACAGAAACTCACACATTTGTTTGAATGAGTAAACAGTAACCAAAAAAGAAAAAAAGAGTGTTTACCGTGCTCTGCGCCAGCAGCCAGCAGGTCACCCGGCAATATTGAGATGAGAGCCGCCACTCAGACATCTCCACCTCCCGGGAGCCGTGCTCTGTGCGGCCCTGGCAGGGTGCCCAGGATAAAGGGCATGGCCAGCACCTGCAGCCTGCTCTGGGCCCCAGTACTGGTCCCCTGAGTCTGCATGAGGCTGCAGCATCCCAGAGGCTTCTGCTCCACCTCTGGGGACCTTTGCTCCATTTGCAGACGTGGTTTCCTTCCACCTGCAGTGTGTGGTTTACTCCAGAGCTGCCTGCTCAGCACAGGGCGGACCCCAGCCAGGCTGTCCATGGTGCTCTTCCTAAGTGAGCATCCCCCGCCCTGGGTCAACCCATGGCTCTGTTGGGGCCTGGCTGACTCGCACTGGGGCTGGCCCCCACCTGTACCCCCACTTCCCTGCCCTCCAACTTCAGCATATGGGTCAGGAAGGCAGACACCCAAAGGCCTCTTGGGTCCTCAGCCTTGATCTCTACCACGTCCCTGCTTAAGTATCAAGAAAACGCATTGGCCACATGAATAATTCCTCACTAACAGCAGTGGCAGAAACCGGAACCAGAAACCCTAGAGGGCTGGAGTGGGGAGGGCCAGCTGGCTCGTGAACAGGCAAGTTTCTGCTGGTCCCAGTTCTGCTCTGCAGACCTGAAGCCGCCCCTCTAGCCCCTCCAATCCTAACACCCTACCCTAGTTACATCCCCAGGCCCCAAGGACCTCCTTGCCCAGGTCCCTGCGCCTCGCTCCCTGTCGGGACGCGAGAGTGAGCTGTGTTTTGCTAGTCTTCATAATCCATTTAAGCAGCCTTGATCTCCCACAGCCCTGCTTAAATATCAGGAAAACGCACTGGCCTGTGGAAGACCTGGCCTGAAAGTGGGTGCTGAGATGGGGAGGGGCCCTGGGAGCAGTCAGACCCACACAGCTGCGTCAGCTGGGAGCTGGGGTAGGAGGCAACAGAGGCCACTCCCTCGGGTGGATGCTGGGACTGGGCAGTCTCTGGTTTGACCTGTTCATTGTGGTTCCTGAGTTAACCTGTGGACAAATGGGCCATTCCCCGAGGGTGGAGAGGACTGGGGGCTTTTCTCCCACCTGCCCTTCCCAGGCCAGGGCCGTGAATTCCTGACCTGGTGCACACATGTCTGTCTGTCAAGCTCTCCAGATACAGTGGGGCAGAATGACCAAGGTGGCCTCCAGGTCCCTGAGAAGGGTACTGCTGCAGAGGTTAATCTGATTTTCTGGCACCTAAAGCCACTAGGCTGAAGCCAAAAGGACAAAACCACCTGAAGCATCCAGGAGGACAGAGACGGGCACCACAGAGGGGAGGGGGGGTCAGGGAACGGCCCGGCTCACTTGTGGCTGCACGGGGAGATTCCTTCCTCAGGGAGGGCGGCGCTGGGGACAGCTGGGCACCCATGCCTTTGTAAAAATGCTGCCCCACGCTTCAGTCTCTGCGTTTATGGATTTGGGAGTTTTATGACATGCCTGTGGCCAGCGCTAGAACTATGAATATTAAAGACCCATTTCCTGTTGTGGTTTCGAGTGTTAAGACCCAAGACAGAAGATGAACTCCAGAAACACAGAAATCATAAGACAGGCTGAAGAAATTCTGCATGGAAAGGAAAACCAACTTACTGCTTCCCACAAATCTGTAATAATATGCAAAAAAAATAATAATAAAGTGCCATTCCTGCAGACTTTGAGAGCGTTTCTTCCATCACGCTCAGAGAGGAGCTCCTCCAGTCATTTGCTTGCAGCCTTAGCCTCACACTTTCTTTCTCCCCATGTGTTAAAAGCATGGAAGACCAGAAAACAGAAAAGCAATCAAAGCTTCTGAAAGGAAACACAGCCTCTGGAGGTCAAGGACACAAAAAACAACCAAAGACACTAGGTGGCAGAGGCCCGGCAGGTTGGAGCACAGACTTAGTGATGAGGGGTCCAGGGGTTCCCCCACTGGGAGAGGGGACAGCCGTTCCAAGCTTGGCGTTTTCCTCTGCACTTCCTGCCTTTCTCTGCAGAGCAAGCTCCTCACCCACCAGGCAGGGGAAGGAAAAACAGGACGGCCACGGTTGGCACAGGACTGTCCGGGTTTTGGAAGCTCAGGACTGGGTCGGGGTGAAAGGTCAAGTGCACCTGAGTTTGGGGACCTGTTCTGCTGATGCAGTTTGGCTGCAGTTTTTATTTGGTGCTGATGACATGTTTCCAAACAGCCAGCCAGGTGTTTGCAAATACCCAAGACCTTTTGGAAGACTCTGGCTAGGATGGGAGGGGTGGGGAAGCCTGCTTTCTCCCCCACCCCACCTTTGATCTTTATTTGAGACTGGGTCTTATTCTGTTGCTCAGGCTGGGGCGCAGGGGTGCAGGGGTGCAATGACAGCTCACTGCAGCCTCAACCTCCCAGCCAAGCCATCCTCCCAGCTCAGGCTCCCAAGTAGCTGCCCCACAGGCATGCACCACCATGCCCGGCTATTTAAAAAATATTTTATAGAGGTGAGGTCTCACGATGTTGTCCAAGCCCGTCTCAAACTCCTGAGCTCAAGTGATCCCTTCTGCCTCAGCCTCCCAAAGCACTGGGATTACAGGCGGGAGCCACCGTCCAGCCCTGCTTCTGCTTACTTCCCCTCCGAGCAGACTAACAGGGTGCTGGGACCCCAGAAGGGAGAAGAGCCCCCGTAAACTCTTTAGCTGAAAGGAACTAAAAATATTCCCCCGTATTCGTGGTGTATAAACCTGGGACAAAGAAAAAGCACTTAGAACGATTAAGGAAAACTTGGGGACTCTTCATTTCTTTGAAAGCCTTTCAAACCCAACTGACTCCCAGATAACCTCCGTGCACGCGCGTGTGTGTAAAAGTGCGTGTGTGTGGCGGGGAGGGGGGGCAGGGGGGCAACTGGGAGATCTGTTCTCATCCCAGATCCTCCGGGCCCTCCTCCCAGGCGTCCGCCAAGGCAGGACAGTCTCCTGAGAAGGGTTCCAAGTTTTGTGCCAACTTCCCTGAATTCTCGCTCCCACTTCTGAGAAGTATTTAACACAAAGAAACACGACTCGAGGCTCGATCCAGACTCTAATGCCCAAGTGGGTCCTCACGTTTATCTTCGCCCATACTCAGTGTCCCCTTGAGAAAAGGCTTTCGGTGCTGACATGGCAGCAGCCGCGCGCAGGAAAGGGGCCCCGCGCCCCCCCCCCCCCCGCCCGCGCCCCCCCATCCCCCCCCCGCGCGCCCCCCCATCCCCTGCCCGCGCGCCCGCCCCCTTCCCGGGCGGCCGGCCGGCCGGGCTCCAACACCGCCCGTGGGGACGCCAGTGCCACCGAGGTCGGGGCCCGGCCGGCCGCGGGCGGGAGGCTCCTTGCGGCGCGGCGGGGGCTTCCCGAGCGGCTGGCCGCGCTTCCTCGGGTTTCAAGTTTCGAACTTGCCGAACATCTGAGATTTTAACAGCGAAAGCGGCCGGCGTCCCCGCGCGCAGGCGGCCTCTCGGGGCCTGGGGCGTCCGGGCGTGGACGCCGAGACTCGCGTGTCCCGCGCCCTGCAGCGCCCGGGGGCCTCCGCGCCGCCCGCCCCGCCAGCGAACCGGCAAGGCCTCCGGGCCCCCGCACGTCCGGACACCGGGAGCCAGGACCCACGCGGGCCGCGCGGAAGGCCCGGCGACCCCCGCCCGAGAGCCGTCCCCACCCGGAGGGGGCGAGCCGAGGGCGCCCTCGGGAACCGGCCCGAGTCCCCGCGAGCGGAGGGCAGGCCGCCCGCAGTGCCCCCAGCGCCCGGGAGGGGGCGCCCGGCGGAGCGCAGGCGGGCGGGCCTCGGGCGGCGGGCGCTCCTGACGTCACCGGCCCGCGGTCGCCAGGGCGACGGCCTCATCCAGCGCGCGTCAGAGCCGCCAGTCTCTTGGCAACCGCCCGATCTCCCGCTCTCCCTCCGCCCAGCGCTCGGCCGCGCGTCGCTCTGGCGTCAAAGTGACGTCAATGGGCGGCCCCCGCCCAGGCGGCGGGGGCGGGGCAGGGGGCGGGGCCCGAGGGGCGGGGCGGGGCGGGGCCGGGCGCCGCGTGCGGCAGAGCGCGGCGGCTCCGGGCTGACATGCGGCGCGGCCCCGGAGGCGGCAGCAGCGGCAGCGGCGGCGGCCGGAGCGGTAGGCTCCCGAGCAGCGCGAGCGGCCGAGCGGGCGGCTTCCCGGCCTGAGCGCTCCGGGGGCGGCGGAGGTGAGGCGGCGGCGGCGGCGGCGGCGGCGGGCTCCGGGCTCCGGGCTCTGGGCGGGCTGGGGTGGCCGCCGTGGGGGCTCCGCGCGGGCGCCGGGCCGGGGCTCGGGGTTGCGGCCACCGCGTAGGGTCCCCGATCGTCCGCGCGCGGGGGGTCGCGGGCCGGGTCGGTGGCCCCGCCGCCCGCGGGCTACCCTTTGTTGCATGGGCCGTGGTGGGAGCGGGTCTGCGGGGCTCGGGGGCTGGGGATCCGGGGGTCGGGTTGGAGCCGACCACGGGCGGAGGGGCCCGGCGTGGGGGGCGGGTCCGCGAGCCCGGCGGTGCCGGGGAGGTCGGGGGTGGGGACGGGACGGATGGCGGCGGCGGGGGCCGGGTGTGGGAGCGGGGCTGGGGGCGGTCCTGGGATCCGGATCTAGCAGACCTCGGGCGGCAGGGCCGGGTGTGGGAGCGAATCCGCGCCCCGAGGTGCCGAGGGGGTCGTGTGTGGGGACGGAACCGACAGCGGGCGGCGGGGGGTGAGGATGGAAGCGGGGCTCAGGGGTCCTGGGATCGGGACGGAACTGAACTCGGGCGGCGGGGGCGGGTGTGGGAGCGGGTCCGCGCGCCCCGCGGGGCTCAGGGGGTCGGGGGTCCGGGTGGAGCGGACTGCGGGCGGCCGGGGCGGGTCCACACCTCTCCGGGGGCTGGAGGGGCGGGTGGATAGAGTGGCGGCGGCAGGCGTGGGGACTGGGGGCTCCGCGGGCACGGATGGAGTCGACCGCAGGCGGCGGGGGCGCTGGTGGTCTCTGAGCGTTGTGCGACCCCGCAGGTGCGCGAGGAGCCATGGTTATCATGTCGGAGTTCAGCGCAGACCCCGCGGGCCAGGGCCAGCAGAAGCCCCTCCGGGTGGGTTTCTACGACATCGAGCGGACCCTCGGCAAAGGCAACTTCGCCGTGGTGAAGCTGGCGCGGCATCGAGTCACCAAAACGCAGGTGAGTGGGGGCGGCGGGACACAGCGGGCCGGGCTTCCCCACTGGGCCCGGGTCGACCCCAACGTTGGCAGGTGGACCCCATGCAGATTCAGCGCTCCAGGCTTGATTGTCGTGGTAAACAGTCACCGTTTTTTAGTTCGGTAAAGAATAAAAATGTTTTATATTGTGTTTCTGCATAATTCGCACAAACGTTCGGAGAAAGCAGGGAGGATAATGGCAAATAAAGAACCATCCTGAGAGTGCGGTGGTTCCTGGACTCAGCTGAGCCCTGTAAAGTGAGACTGTAGATGCTTAAAAAGCTCTTACTTAGCTCCGATTACTTTAAATAACGTTAGTGGTTACTTGGTTATGTTTTCTTAACTTCTTATGACATTTTGGAGACAAAGTGTTGAGAAATTATCTCGCAAAAAATGAAATGTGTAAATTAGGTTGAGGTTTTTTTTAAAAAAAACACAAAATATCCTTTTTCTTTTTAAAATCTGTAGGTTGCAATAAAAATAATTGATAAAACACGATTAGATTCAAGCAACTTGGAGAAAATCTATCGTGAGGTTCAGCTAATGAAGCTTCTGAACCACCCACACATCATAAAGCTTTACCAGGTAAGGGCTCAGGTTGTCTTGCTAATCCTGGCAAATGTGTTCTATTTTATTTTCAACAATGTAAGTCTGCAATTTCTGAAGGTGGCTTCCCTTTTGGAGGGTGTGTGGAAGTTGGGTATTTGGTTGTGTAAGGTAAATAGATTGAGTTTTCTATAGACTGTGCAGATATATTTACAATTATTTTATTGTTTTTGGATCACAATTGAGATTTGCTTCATGAGAATTTTATTAAGTGTCCTAACTTGATCCAGTTTTAAATGTGTACAGGTCTGTTGTTAAATTTGCTTTACTGTGAAAATAAATGCATCTATAGGTATTGCCACAGGTCACACATTTAGTGTAAAAGGACAAATTTGAGTGAAGCTTCCCGCCGTTCTTACCGGTTTTTCATTGGTTTATCTTTGCAAGGACAGTTGTGAGCGTTTGTTTTCCCTGTTTAAACTCTTCTGTGAAAAACAGAGATGAAAATACTTTCCCATAGTAAGAGCGAGGAGCTTGTCATTTAATCCGAGCTAGGAACATGCCTCGCTCTGCCCATCTGTTGGTTTATTTTGTGACTTAATTTTTGTTCTCATGTTGAAATTAGTAACTTATATCTTCGGGAAATAAGTACTAATTTAATTAGAACAGCAAAGCAGCCTTTTCACCTCCCTAATGATAAATGACCACTTTTGCAAAGGTGAAATCAAGTCTTCTTTCAGAAGAATAAGCTCTTTGCAGGTGCTGTTCATCCATTCGTGCTGGGCTGGCCTTCCTCTTGATGATTCTTACACAGTGGAATCTGAGATGACTCTGGGATGTGGTTGTGTTGTGCAATTGGGACGGCTCGGTGTACAGTGTGGTAGGAGAGAGAATTAAGATTTGAAGTGATCCCTCTAAGCCTCTGCACTAGATTAAATTAAAAGTAGCGGTCTTGCGGGAGCCTGTGCCCACCGTGGTGCCGTTTACTGGGCGTCTTTCAGTGCAGAATCGTGCCAAAGCGCCCGGTTCGTGTTTTGTTTCTGTTGTCATCTTTAAGTTGTGCGCTCCCTGGTCGCTGATGTCACTGCCTGTGCAGCGTGCCCGGCCCATTTCCTCGGGAGTGGGCTGAGCTGGTTTTGTTTTTGACTTTGCTCAAGGGCTGAACTCTAATGGCAGTACCTTCCTTTTCTTCCTATTCTTCCCCTTTGCCCATTGTGTGGAATTAGCTCTGTTAAAGAAACAGATTGCCCATGTGATTGGTGCTGGAGGCCTTTGCTGGGGGTACACTTACTTACGGCTGCTGTTCGGGATTCTTAACTATTTGAAGATGATAGAATTCAGTGGTGTAGCAATGACTTTTATTCCTCTGGTTTTGACGCTAGTGTCTAATTTCTTTTTTTTTTTTTTTGAGACAGAGTCTCCCTCTGTCGCCCAGGCTGAAGTACAGTGGTGCGATCTCGGCTCACTGCAACCTCTGCCTCACGGCTTCAAGCGATTTTTCTGCCTCAGCCTCCTGGGTAGCTGGGACTACAGGTGCCTGCCACCACACCCGGCTCATTTTTGTATTTTTAGTAGAGACGGGGTTTTGCCATGTTGGCCAAGCTGGTCTCGATCTCCTGACCTCATGATCTGTCCACCTTCGCCTCCAAAGTGCTGGGATTACAGGCGTGAGCCGCTGTGCCAGGCTGCTAGTGTCTAATTTTCATTCTGCTGGCCAGGGCTCCAGAACCCTGCTGAGACACGTTCCCCTTTTTTTTAGGCTTTTAAAAAGTTCAAACACTTTGACTCTGAATTCTTTTCCTCCTCCTGCCTTTCTTCAGTTGGGGACAGGGTGAGCGGTGGCCTTCGAGTCATCCCACCACACACAGGTGCAGTTAAAATTCTTGCCAAACTGCTAAAATTTATACAACACTTTGCTTACTAGATTTACAGTTCAAAGCAGCTATCTTTGAAGCATTTTTTGGAGCGGGGGATGGAGTCTCGCTTTGTCAGCCAGGCTGGAGGGCAGTGGTGCAGTCTCTGCTCACTGCTACCTCTGCCTGCTGGGTTCAAGCGATTTCCCTCCCTCAGCCTCCCAAGAGGCTGGGACTACAGGCGCAGGCCGTGATGTCTGCCCAATTTTTGTATTTACGGTAGAGATGGAGTTTCGCCACGTTGGCTAGGCTGGTCTCGAACTCCTGACCTCAAGTGATCTGCCTGGGTAATCCCAGAGTGCTGGGATTACCAGCGTGAGCCACCACGCCCAGCACAAAACATCTTTTTAAAGGAGTAACTGTATATTTTGAACCCAAAGAAATCTTTTTTCATAAGAATATATTGTCTCACCCTCTCCAAAAATTTTCAGTACTCACAGACATAAGTTATATTTTAAATCTTTTTTTAAGCAAAATAAAGTTATTGATCAATAAATGAACTTTGAAAGGCTGCATTGGCACGGCTGTCACGTGGCTTCATGCTGAGTGATGGGCTGTGCGCCGAGCAGCCCACCTCAACTGACCTGGCACAGCCGGCTTCTCACAGCCTGGTTCGTCCTGTCAATAAAGCAAGTGGGAATGGGGCATGCGTTCTCTCTTATTCAGGTGGCTCTGACCGTCGACTGGAATAGTCTGTTGCCTGCTAGCCTTCTATAAAGCCCAGCAGACTTCTAGCAGTCTCCTCCTCTGTAACCCTTATTTATAATTTTGTCTCTGTTTTTTTTTGAGACAGAATCTTGCCCTGTTGCCCAGGCTGGAGGGCAGTGGTGTGATCTCGGCTCGCTGCAACCTCCGCCTCCCGGGTTCAAATGATCCTTCTGCCTCAGCCTCCTGAGTAGCTGGGATTACAGGCACCTGCCACCACACCTAGTTAGTTTTTGTCTTTTTTGTAGAGATTGGGTCTTGCCATGTTGACCAGGCTGGTCTCGAACTCCTGGGCTCAGGCGACTCTCCTGCCTTGGCTTCCCAAAGTGCTAGGATTACAAGTGTGAGCCACCACACCCGACCTAAGCAGTCTCAAGTTGTAGGTGAGGTGACTTGAATTAAATATGACCACAGAGGAGAATTCTAATATATTTAGGCTTTTTTGTAAGAGCAAAGGTGTATCAGGATAGTCAGTGAGGAATTCACCTCTGATTTTTTAAAGCCGTCTTTGTGAGTAGGAATTTCCTGTATTTTTTTTTTTTAATTGCAGAAGTTTTTCTTTTTCTTTGCATTTTTAAATGATGAATGCCTTTGTCCTGGAGAAGTTAAAAATTTGCTGGGGTTCTGGTGGGTTATTGGTAGCGCTGGCGTCTGCCTTTTCTGTGTGGTTAAACTCAGGTCTCTCTTCTTTAGGTTATGGAAACAAAGGACATGCTTTACATCGTTACTGAATTTGCTAAAAACGGAGAAATGTTTGGTAAGCCACACTCGTTTTTAATATCCATTGAAAGAAAATGGCATGATCGTGTCTGGATTTGCGCAACTGGTGTTTGGGCCCACGCGTCCTGGGACCGTGAGGTGTCTCCAGGCCCTCCTGGGTGCTGGGGGCTTTGCCCTGGGGCTCTAGCTTATTTTGTGGTTCCTCAGATTATCTGACTTCCAACGGGCACCTGAGTGAGAACGAGGCGCGGAAGAAGTTCTGGCAGATCCTGTCGGCCGTGGAGTACTGTCACGACCACCACATCGTCCACCGGGACCTCAAGACCGAGAACCTGCTGCTGGATGGCAACATGGACATCAAGCTGGCAGGTATGGAGGCTCCGGGCCCAAGGGTGGGGGCAGGGGCATCAGGCTGGCAGGCATGGAGGCCCTGAGGTGGGAGCGTGCCCGTAAGCCGCCCCAGCTTCCCGACATGCTCTGAAACCGCAGCCCCTTGCCATGCGTGGTTTAACTTCATCCATCGGTTTCTTTGCCTCTCAGATTTTGGATTTGGGAATTTCTACAAGTCAGGAGAGCCTCTCTCCACATGGTGTGGGAGCCCCCCGTATGCCGCCCCGGAAGTCTTTGAGGGAAAGGAATATGAAGGCCCCCAGCTGGACATCTGGGTAGGAGCCAGACCCCCTGCCGGAGGCCATGTTCCCTGGGGGTGCTGTGTTCCCTGGGGCGCTGGCGCTGATGTGGCTCCGTGGTCCTCTGCAGAGCCTGGGCGTGGTGCTGTATGTTCTGGTCTGCGGTTCTCTCCCCTTCGACGGACCCAACCTGCCGACGCTGAGACAGCGGGTGCTGGAGGGCCGCTTCCGCATCCCCTTCTTCATGTCTCAAGGTGGGTCGTGGGGTCCCCTGTGGACAGGGGCCTGTGTCTCCTGCAGCCCCTGTGCAGCTGGCTTCTGAGTCCGTGTTGAGTCTGGGACTCAGGCCCAGCTTACTGTGGGCCGCAGGAGAAAGCCCGCCCCTGGTGCCTTCTCAGGATGGGTGGGTGGTGCCCTCACTGTATAGGCTGGTGCCTTGCTTCTTCTGTCCCTGCCCAGCAGCCTTGCCCAGGTGCCAGCCTCATCTCTGAGTCTAACCCACTGGCTGTGGTACTCCTGGCTTTTCTGTGTCGGTGCTCAGGCACGGGGCGTGGCAGAAGGGTGGACCCAAGTGGTTCTCTGTGTGGTGGATACAAGTGTGGCAGGCAGCCCCCAGGGACTGGATCCTGTCTGGCGCCTCGCCTTGGGTGGCAGGACTGAGCTAATGGCCTAGTCCCTGCTCCTGGCCCCTGGCATACCAGCCCAGGTGGGGTGGTGGGTGGGAGCGCAGGCACGGTCCCAGTTGCCCTGGCTCAGCCTCTCGGCCCCTCTGCAGACTGTGAGAGCCTGATCCGCCGCATGCTGGTGGTGGACCCCGCCAGGCGCATCACCATCGCCCAGATCCGGCAGCATCGGTGGATGCGGGCCGAGCCCTGCCTGCCGGAGCCCTGCCTGCCGGGGCCCTGCCTGCCGGGGCCCGCCTGCCCCACCTTCTCCGCACACAGCTACAGCTCCAACCTTGGCGACTACGATGAGCAGGCGCTGGGCATCATGCAGACTCTGGGCGTCGACCGGCAGAGGACGGTGGAGGTGAGCTTGGCCACCCTTGCCCCGGCCTCGCGTGCAGGGGCTGGGCAGCTTTGTCGGGGAAGCAGGTGCTCACCAGCCGAGTTAAAACAGGAGTGCAGCTAATTTAGGGGCCAGCTTGTCCACCCGGCTAAAGGATATTCTCAGTCACCCAAGAATAACCTGGAGCGGGTGGGCCCTGGGGCTCCCGCCGCCCCCGAGCTGACCTCAGCTTCTCTCATCCCCAGTCACTGCAAAACAGCAGCTATAACCACTTCGCTGCCATTTATTACCTCCTCCTCGAGCGGCTCAAGGAGTATCGGAATGCCCAGTGCGCCCGCCCTGGGCCTGCCAGGCAGCCACGGCCTCGGAGCTCAGACCTCAGCGGCTTGGAGGTGAGCAGGCATCTCCTCCTGGGCCCCAGGCTTCCTCCCCCTTCAGGCACCAGCTTGGAGAGCGGTTCCTTGTGTGGGCAGCGGGTCCCAGGCTGCGTGGGGAATGGGGTGCCAGCTGTTGGGGGCTGGACCCTGCCCAGAGGCCACTTGCTCCTGACTCATCCCCGGGGCCGGCTTGTCATGCCACCCCCTGGCAGCATAGCACCAGCACGTGGTCCTGAGCCAGCCCAGCCAGCCTGTGCCCCTCAGTCAGCCGTCACGCCCACCCACCAGGCAGCTCATGGTCCAGACAGCAGCCAGCTTGTTTCTCCTCTTGATGGCGCCGGCGGTCCCCAGCCACTCCCCTGATGGCCTCTTTCCTGTCTCCGGCCCAGGTGCCTCAGGAAGGTCTTTCCACCGACCCTTTCCGACCCGCCCTGCTGTGCCCACAGCCGCAGGCCTTGGTGCAGTCCGTCCTGCAGGCCGAGATGGACTGTGAGCTCCAGAGCTCGCTGCAGTGGGTGAGTGCCCAGAGTGGGCGTGCAGAGGGCTCACCTCAGCCTGGCGTGGTGCCCTCAGTGTGTGCGTCTGGCTCTCCCGGAGCCCAAAAAGTCACTGGCTTGTCTCTTCAATGCAGCCCCTGTTCTTCCCGGTGGATGCTGGCTGCAGCGGAGTGTTCCGGCCCCGGCCCCTGTCCCCCAGCAGCCTGCTGGACACGGCCATCAGTGAGGAGGCCAGGCAGGGGCCCGGCCTCGAGGAGGAGCAGGATGCTCAGGAGTCCCTGCCTGGCAGCACGGGTCGGAGGCACACCCTGGCCGAGGTCTCCACCCGCCTGTCCCCACTCACCGCTCCATGTAAGTGGCCCTGGGAACCCAGGAGGACACTGATGGGTGGGCTCACAGTCGATGGGAGAGCAGGCTCATTTAGAATGGACACTTTGCCTGGCAGCCTCTCAGGGTTGGACTTTGGATTTGCCACTTGTTTTAATCCCTGAGACCACATCGTGGATGCTTAGAGTCTGCCCTGCCTGTGCCCCTTCTAGCAGAGGACACGGCATGGGTTTTGGCCGCCAGCAGGGTCTTCCCAGGCCACCCCCGGGTGCTGGGAGGGTAGCCCCCGGGTCCGAGGTCCTCTACGACCCGCCACCTGAAGCTGCACACGATGGTGGCCTGCCTTTGGGGATGCCTGGGCTCTGGTGGCCTCGAGCCCTGTTCCGGCCAGGTTGTGGGCAGGGATGGGGAGGTCGGGGCAGCCTGTTCCTCTGCACGCAGCATCAAGAGAACCGTGCTCCCCCACAGGCATAGTCGTCTCCCCGTCCTCCACAGCGAGCCCTGCAGAGGGAACCAGCTCGGACAGTTGTCTGACCTTCTCCGCGAGCAGAGGCCCTGCGGAGCTCAGTGGCACCCCGGCCACTCAGGGGCTGCTGGGCCCCGGCTCCCCGGTCAGGTTGGCCTCGCCCTTTCTGGGGTCGCAGTCTGCCACCCCGGCGCTGCAGGCCCAGGGGGGCTTGGGAGGAGCTGTCCTGCTTCCTGTCAGCTTCCAAGAGGGACGGAGGGCGTCGGACACCTCACTGACTCAGGGTGAGCCATGCTCCTCTCACACTCACCTGCACTTTCCCCAGGGCACCATGCGTGCCTCTGGCAGTATGTGACTTTGTCCTTGATGGCGGACGGTGCCCCCCATATTCTCCACCAGACCTGGGTGGGACTTGCAGTGCTCTGGGCAGGCTGGGGTGTGCCCTGCTCTGGAGGTCACAGCCTGCTGGGACGGAAGCATACTTGGGTCACTGAGCACATGACCTCCGAGACTGCTTCTGAAAGCACAGGAGATGATCCCGTGCTGAGCAGCCCCTCCCCACCTGGAGCAGGCATGGGGTTACGGAGGGCCCCTGGCTTCCGTCAGACTCCTCTCCGGCCATGCTTGTGTCCCCCGTCCTTTCCTTGTCCTCCCTGAGGCTTGGAAACCCCCATAAGCCAAGGGCTGTGGATGCTGGGCTGGGAGGCGGGAGGCCGCTGACCTTCTGACCTGGTCTCCCCGCAGGGCTGAAGGCCTTTCGGCAGCAACTGAGGAAGACCACGCGGACTAAAGGGTTTCTCGGGCTGAACAAAATCAAGGGGCTCGCCCGCCAGGTGTGCCAGGCCCCCGCCAGCCGCACCAGCAGGGGTGGCCTGAGCCCCTTCCACACACCTGCACAGAGTCCGGGCCTGCACAGCAGTGCGGCCGGCAGCCGGGAGGGCCGGAGCCTGCTGGAGGAGGTGCTGGAGCAGCAGAGGTAGGGCCTGCCCCCACCCTGGGACCCCGGGAGGGCACACGGCAGGTTGTCTCCTGGAGAAACCTCATCTGCTGAGCGGTTCCCTCCTCCGTGTAGCCCAGCAGGTACCCCCGGCCCCAGCCAGGGAAGTGTGGGGGGCACAGGTCCTAGGTGCTGAGCCACGGGGTGCAGCAGGCAGATGTGTCTTCTAAAGCCCTGGGGTGGGCAAGGGTGACGGCGAGTGAGAGCACCTCGTGACTGCACCTCTGAGCTGCTGAGAGGCCAGGTGGAGAAGGCAAGGTGGGGTGCCGTGGGGAATCAGCCACGCACCTGCCCTCGGCAGCCATAGCCAGCAGCTCCACAGGCGGGCCCTGCCACACAGGCACTCGGAAACCCGAGAACCCTGTGAGCCGGCTCGGTGACCGCCCGTCTTCTGTTCCCACAGGCTGCTCCAGTTACAGCACCACCCGGCCGCCACGCCCAGCTGCTCACAGGCCCCCCAGCCGACCTCCACCCCATTTGTGATAGCCCCCTGTGATGGCCCTGGGGCCACGCTGCTCCCCAGCACCCTCTTCATGTCGGGGCTCCCGCTGCTGCCACCCCCACTCCTGCAGGCCGGCGTCTCCCCCGTGGCCTCGGCCGCGCAGCTCCTGGACACACAGCTGCATATTGGCGCCAGCCCCACCGCCCTCCCCGCTGCGCTCTCGCCACGCCCGGCCAGGCTGGCCCCAGGCTGTGAGCCCCTGGGGCTGCTGCAGGGGGACTTCGAGATGGAGGACCTGAGCCCCTGCCCCCTGGGGACCTTCGTCCTGGTGCAGTGAGGGCGGCCCCGCGTCCTGGCTCGGACACTGACTCTTCCAAGCAATAACTTCAGAGTAGGTGAAGACATCTGGACTCAAAGCCAAGAACTTTCTAGAAGCAAAACAAGCAATACGTTAGGTGTTTTGGCTTTTTAGTTTATTTTTGTTTAATTTTTTTCTTGCACTGAGTGACCTCAACTCTGAGTAGGGACTGGAAACTTTAAGAAGAAAGATAATTGAGTGGTGTGTCTTGGGGGCGGGGGCAGGAGGGGAGCAGGGTGGAGGAGGACATGTGCAGCTCCATGGTGTGGGGATCAGCCCCTCTGCAGCTTCGTCGTGGTTGAGATGATTACGTCGGACATCCACGGAAACAAGCGGGCGCGTTGTCTGTCGTCCACGTCTGTGTGTGTGTGCCCGCGTGTGTGTGTGCACATGTGGGCATTGATTACTATCCATTTCTTTAGTTAACACTCACCACTTCCTGATCCATGCTTTAATGAAAACTGTGAACTTTCGGCTTCATGTATCCGTTTTAAAGCAGCTCTACGTGGTCAGCCCAGGCAAAGATCAGCTACACGTTCTTGGAATTCTCTCCCCTGAAATCAAAACCTGGAAGACACTTTTTTCCTTATTTTAGGTGAGTTTTATAAACTGCTCAAGAGTTAGTTTTCCAGGGCTTTGGAGGAACTGCAGGAAGAACCTCAAAGACGGCAGAGGTGATGTCAAAGTGCTGGGGGCTCCGTCCTAAGGGTCACTTGGCCCCCAGTCCCCGGGGCGGAAGCCCAGAAGCTTCTTCCTGCTGCACCTCGAGTTCGGCTGCTGAAGACCTTCATGCATTTCATGGTGGGGTCCCCAAGAACACCTGACTTGGGTCAGGCTGTGCAGTAGCAGGGGCTGACTGCAGGCCAGGCAGCTAGGAGACACTCGGGGCTCAGGGCCGCCTGCCTGGGCCAGGACCCTCCCGAGAAATCGCCCGGTCCCTGCGTGGGCTCTTTGGCTTTTGTTCAAGGAAGGTAAAGAGACGTTTAGGTCAGTGTTTTTAAGTTTTTGTTTCTTTTTTTTTTAAAGCAGACCCTGTGCATGCATCTGCACGGGTGACAGGTAGACACTACTTCGTGGTTAGGTTTTGTGCACTTTGTGTTTAGGTTTCCGCTTCCCTCACTCATGGTAAGAAGCGTCCCTGTCAGCACGAGGCGTGCATTGAGGAAGGGGCCCCAGGGCCTTCCTCCCTCAGTGCTGGGGTGGAGGCGGCAAGAAGGGGCGGCCCTCACCTGGCAGGTTGGGGCACACCACTGGCAGGTGGACTCCGAGAGGCTCCATCAGCCAGAAGCCTCTGGAAGGCAACAAAGGAAATGCTGCTCCCACTCGCCCTGAACCCAGCCCAGGTGCCTTCAGCTGCTTCGGCTTCTTACACCCTGCAGTGTTAAACAGAGGCGTTGGGAAAGGGGAAAGGCGGGTATTTTTAAAAGCCAAAGATTGACCCAGTTACTTGAGGGTAGGGAGGCGGGCCGGTTCGAGAGGCGGTCCCTGGGCTGCCAGCGCCCACCGAGGGCTGCGCCTGTGCCGTGCCGGGGGGAGCTGGCCGCCCCCGTTCCTGCTGCTACTGCTGCTCTGGCGGGGCGAGGGGCTGTCTGGAGGGCAGACCTGGGGCCTCGCCGCCGAGAAAACACCAAAGTCTCCTTTTGCTCATAGAGAAATTTTTGGGGTGGGAGAGCATCCAGACCATCGTGGGGCAGCCAGGCCCTTGCCTTCATTTTTACAGAGGTAGCACAATTGATTCCAACACAAAACCCCTCCCCTTTTCAAAACGATTTCTGTTCTAATGCCACAGATCAAAGGCCTCAGACACCATGTGTGTTTCCTCTTCGAAGCAATGACAAGCACTTTACTTTCGTAGTGGTTTTGTTTTTCCTTACTGCTGTAGAACCTCTTTTGGAGGACGTTAAAGGCGTGTTTTTCTTGTTTTTTTAAGAGTGTGTGATGTGTGTTTTGTAGATTTCTTGACAGTGCTGTATACAGACGGCAATGCAGTAGCCTATTTAAAGACACTACGTGATCTGATTGAGATGTACATAGTTTTTTTTACCATAACTGAATTATTTTACCTCTTACGTTAACATGAGAAATGTATGCCAAATAATTAGTTGATGTATGTTTTTTAATTTAATATTTAAATAAAATATTTGGAAGGAAAACGCCTTGAATTTTCCCCGTTCCTCCCTCGTCCCTGTGGGAGGTCTTTCCCTCTGAGCAGCTTCCCTGAGAGGCCACATCTTCCAGGTCTGTGGGAGTTTCAGATTTTAAAGGGGAGGTCACGGAGCTAAGCCCTGCATTCCACCTCACCGCAGGGAACTAACGGCCTTCTGGCTGCAGGTGACCCCTGCCCTGCAGCCACAGGTGGCTCCAGGGTCTGCCTGCTCCTCAGGACCCCTCCCTGGAGGCCAGGCCAGGCCGTGGTGTCAGTCACCGAGTCTCGGCACCGCCCAGGGCTGCCAGTGCTATCTATTCTTACCCCATCCTCCTCCGTCAGGGTCTGAGTCTGGTTATAAATGAAGCAGTTGGAAGAATCTCACGGCCAAACCATTTCCTGGTCCTTAAAAGAGTTCATCACCTTCTAGCTATAGTGCAGGCGTTGCAGCTCATAAGAACAAAGGATTTGTTCATGTTGGCACCTGGTGGATATTTTGGTTAAAAAAGTTCTTCAGCCTCTTGGCGTCCAGGAAGGTGGTCGTTACCAAAGCGGACTCCTTGTGCGCTGCTGGTGGGAGGGTTGGGTGGCGCAGCCTTTATGGAAAGCAGTGTACCAGTTCCTCAAAAGATGAGACAGAACCGAGCTAGCCGCTCCTCTCTCCGTGGTGTATACCCGAATCGCTGAAGGCAGGGTCCAGGGATGTTTGTACACCCCTGTTCATAGCAGCATGACAGCCAAGCTAGGAAGCTGCCAAGTGGCGGTCGGCGAGGAAGGGGCCGAGAAGCGCACCTGACAGTGGAACAGGCCTCTGCCCCACGCGGCCCACAACCGGGGTGGACCCTGAGGACACTATGCTCAATGCAACAAGCCAGTCACAAAAGAACACAGACCCCAGAGTTCCCTATTGTGGTCAGATTCACAGAGATAGAAGCTGGAGTGGTAGGTGCCGAGGCTGAGCGAGGGTTGCAATTCCGACCAGAGATGAATAGGTCGGAATTGCGGTTTCAGAGGACGGAAACGCTCTGGAGGTGGACGGTGGTGACGGCTGCATAACAATATGAACGTTCTTCATGCCACTGAACCATGTACCCAAAAGTGGTCAAAATGATAAGTTGTATGTTATGTGTATTTTACTACAGTTTTTCTTTTTTGAGCCTTGCTTTGTTGCCCAGGCTGGAGTGCAATGGCGTGATCTTGGCTCACTGCAACCTCCGCCTCCCAGGTTCAAGTGATTCTCCAGCCTCAGCCTCCTGGGTAGCTGGGATTACAAGCACCCACCATCATGCCCGGCTAACTTTTGTATTTTTAGAAGAGATAGGGTTTCACCATGTTGGTCAGGCTGGTCTCGAACTCCTGACCTCAAGTGATCTGCCTGTCTCAGCCTCCCAAAGTGCTGGGATTACAGGTGTGAGCCACTGTGTCTGGCCCACAATTTTTTTTTAAAAAGGAAGTTTTTTCTCAAGGGAGCAGATGACTAGTGAGTGGATAGCAGCTCCCACGAGGAGAGCAGGCAGGAGCCATGGGGGGGCAGGCGCAGGGCAGGCCACTGTCGCTGGTAATGTTGGCAGGGTATAAGTGTGGCCAGGGCCAGCCTTATTGTTCCTGGAACCCTGCTCAGCCAGGGCGTCCTGGTCCTTGGGACAGCCTGCCCTGGGACAGCCCCTCATGCAGCTGGATGGTGGGAAGGAGGGGGAGGGGCTGTGTCTTCTGAGTGTCCTCTAAGAACAGAGTGGTAGCCTCTGAGGTCCTGGCTGTGGCTGGCGCTGGCTTAGTGGCTTGGGGCCGTCTGACAGGGAGGCTGAACCAGGGATCAGCACTCCTGAGTGAGTGGAGGCCCCGGCTCCGGCCGTGCCTGTGTCGGGGAGGGCGGCAGGGGAGCTGGGGGTCCACGGAGCTGTTCTGTCTCCAGGCAGCCTGGTCACCCCCCTCAGAGCGGGGCCAGCTTGGGACACTGAGGTCAGGCTGTGTGGCACCTGCTGAACAGAGTTGGGTGGCTGTGCCGAGGGCATCTGTGTTTACTGTTTGGGAGCATGGAGCCTTGGAAACCGGGAACCTCGAGCCAGAACCTCTTGTCATGTCGTGCATGCGAATTCACAGTGCGACCTGCCTGTGTCTCAGCTCCTCATGGGGACGACAGTGTCTTGTGGTGCTCCAGGGTGTCCCGAGCAGCCCTGGCAGGCGGCCGCTCCTTAGGACACAGCACTGCCGAAGCCACCCCTGCATCTCTCATGCTTGGCCGCTTCTTCCAGAACTCGTGATGGGTGCCACAAAGATGGCGATGATGACAGTGGTGATGCTAATGATGGTGATGATGGTGACGGTGGTGGTGGTGACGATAGTGATGCTGATGATGGTGATGATGGTGATGATGGTGACGATGGTGACGATGGTGATGGTGATGATGGTGACGATGGTGACGGTGACGATGGTGACAGTGGTGACGATGGTGATGGTGACGGTGACGGTGGTGACGGTGATGACGGTGATGATGGTGATGACGGTGATGATGGTGACGGTGACGGTGATGATGGTGACGATGGTGACAATGGTGACGATGGTGACGGTGATGATGGTGACGATGGTGACCATGGTGACGGTGATGATGGTGATGATGGTGACGATGGTGACGATGATGATGGTGATGACAGTGATGATAGTGATGGTGATGATGATGATGCTGATGGTGATGATGGTGATGATGACGGTGATGACAGTGATGATGGTGATGGTGACGGTGGTGATGGTGACGATGGTGATGATGGTGACGATGGTGATAATGACGGTGATGATGGCAATGGTGACGATGGTGGCGATGATGATGGTGATGATGCTGATGACGATGGTGACGATGATGATGATGGTGATGATGATGCTGATGATGGTGATGATGGTGACGATGGTGATGATGATGATGATGGTGATGACAGTGATGATGGTGACAGTGATGACGGTGATGATGGTGATGATGATGGTGATGACTGTGATGATGGCAAAGATGGTGATGGTGACAGAGGCTTGGAATTCTCAGGTTGAAAGTTGGAGCCCCACTCATGGGGCCTCTTGCAGGCCTTATAGGACCCCAGAATTCTGCCCTGGGCTTCTTGATCTGCTCCTGAGTCATTTCAGTCCCTCCGCTGGGGTGGTCCCAAGGGGCAGGACAGTTGGCCACACCCATGGGTGTGTTTGCCCCTTGCCTGAGGGTCCCTTCATGGCCCCTTGCCCAGGTCTGGCACTGTGAGCGTCCCCCATCCACCCCGGCGTTTGGCAGAATTTTCCCATTGTGGACATGCTCCTTCCTGCTGGGCCTGGCCGGGCAGAGCTGGGCCCTGGCACAACCTGGGCACACCCCTAGTACTTGATGGCACTTCTGAGCCATCCAGGGCTCTTGAGGTTCTACAACTTTCTCTTTCGGTCTGGTGAGGGCCAGGCACAGCCTGGAGCTTCAACGGAAGCAAGTGGCTGCTGTGTACTTGCTGTACAAGGCGAAGGGGTGCCCAGCCAGCCCGAGTGCAGAGTGGCACGGTGGCTGAGGATGCAGCCTCCATGGCCACATGCCTGGGCTTGCCTTCTGGTGCTGCAGCTTTCCAGCCCTTTGCTGATGAAGCGATGGCCACACGCACTCCGTGTTGACAGGCAGCTCCCGTGACAAGGGTGCCGACCATGGTGGGTGCGCAGCGGGCCCTGAGGGGACACAGTGGCGTCCCCGGGCGCCGCCCCAGCAAGAACCGGGCCAGACACCCACCAGGGAAGCACTGTGGTGGGCCGGATTGGTGGTGACCCGGCACCTGCTGCGTCCCGTCCCGTCGTGGACGTACCTCCTCTCACAGGGGCAGGAGCCGGACCTTGGCCTTGAGGCGCCTGGGCCCTGCCTCTGTGCTTTCCTGCCTGCAGGAAGCGTGGTGCTCCCCTCGCTAGGCCATGGATAGGAAGAAGGCTTCCTGCCAGTCAGGAATACTGTCTCCCCGCCGGCTTCTCAGGGTGGGGGTGGGGAGAGAGGGGATGTCCCGGCCAAGCGGGGTCCCCGGGGCCAGCCCAGAGGAGCTGAGGGAAGTTCCTCCTGTTTCTGCTGCGCTCACCTTCTCGGAGGCAGGAACTGACTCGCTTGGGGTGGAAGGAAAGAGCTGGCCTCTTGGTTTTTCTTCCAGAATAACTCCGGGCTGTTTAGCGGGCATGCCGTGCCGCTGAGGGGTGGTGAGCACATCGCCCTGCGAGTGGCCACACCTCTGACCTTTGGTGCGGGGTGGTCCTGGGGAAGGTGGCCAGGCCTGGGGCTCAGAGACTGGGAGGCTGGGCTTGGGTTCCTGCTTATGCAGCTGCGGCAGAGAGGAGAGAGGGAGAGACAGAGGGAGAGAGGAGGAAAGGAGAGAGAGGAGGGAGGCAGAGAGGGAGAAGAGAGGGAGCGAGAGAGGAGGGAAAGAGGGAGAGAGGAGGGCGGAGGGAGGGAGGAAGGGAGAGAGGGAGGGAGAAGAGAGGGAGGGAGAAGGAGGGAAAGAGGGAGAGAGGAGGGCGGAGGGAGGGAGGAAGGGAGAGAGGGAGGGAGAAGAGAGGGAGGGAGAAGGAGGGAAAGAGGGAGAGAGGAGGGAGGAGGGAGGGAGGGAGGAGGGAGGGAGGAGGGAGAAAGACAAGGAGGGAGGAGGGAGAAAGACAGGGAGGGAGGGAGGGAGAGAGGGAGGGAGAAGAGACGGAGAGAGAGAGGAGGGAAAGAGGGAGAGAGGAGGGAGGGAGAGGGGAGGGAAAGGGGAGGGGGAGGGGAAGGGGGAGAGAGGAGGGAGGGAGGGAGGGAGAGCAAGGGGTGTTCAGTTCCTCTCCTCAGGGGAACTGCTGGGGTCTCGGTCTGACTCACTCCTTTCTAATTATTATTATTTCACTTATTTGAATGTGATTTCCGCAAAAATAAAAAAAGAAAGAAAAAGAGAAAGGACTTAGAAAAAGTGCTCAGGGAACCCAGGTGGCCAGAAATGCTCCATTCCCCTTTTGTCCTTTGCAGCATTCTGGGCTGGAGTG